ATTGAAGACAATTCATCATCCACTTAAACTCATACCAGAAGCAAATGCAGTTATCCTGTCAGACCAAGTGGAGATACAGCCTATTCCCTTAAACAAACGAGAGATAAAAAGCAAAAGCAAAGCCTCCATAGCCCAAAGATGGCAAGCCCAATGGGATGCAAGTATGATGGGGTGATAGCTATGCAAAATTCAACCCACAGTCCACCAAAAGTCATACTCTTATTAAAGATAAGTTGAAGTAGCCATCTCAGACCTCAGACCTCAGGTCACAAAAAGTACTTGACAAGGTATGCCCTTCTTGCAATCACCTGAAATCCATTGCTCACTTGCAGTTAGATCTGCTGTCTGTCGATCTTCTAAAGCGAAGATATGCAATAACAAAGACCAAACTAGCTCTATTTCTGACAGATGGTCAGAACATATGAATAGAGGTGCAAAAGAAATAGAGGTTATCACGCAAGTGTGTTTGGTGAAGCTAAATATCCTGTGGTAGGAATAAACATTGTATATAGCAAGCCTTTATGAGCTAAATACACAGTGTGTATTCTAATACAGGATATTTACCATCCCCAAACACACAAGCGTGATAACCTCTTTATCATATAATGTCATTCTTTAATTCTGTGCTAGAAAAATCTCTTCCCATCTCTCAAAAACATTACCTACACATTGCAAGTTTTCCTGGAATGTGTGCATTAATATGTATTACATATGAAGGTAAGTGATGTGTCGGTCAGACAGTGACAACAGTCAATATAGTTCCAAGTGAGACATGTTACTCATACAGTGGTGTAACTACATTTATAAACCTATCATGGTGTTGTAACCATCTCCCAGACGACCTTTCTTTTGTAGTAAGACCACTCAGCAGGTTTTACGATTGCTCCTCAGGTTTTACAATTGCTCCCCAGGTTTTACAATTGCAATTGTAAAACCTGGGGAGCAATTGTAAAACCTGGGGAGCGATTAGAATTTTCATCAATTAACTTACTTTGAGTAAGAATAGGTGAGTGGGTTGGGGAAATCCAGGATTAGATCTTATCGTTCATGCCTTGCGGGTGGATGGTTTTGAGATCGAATATCCATTTAAGTTCAATGGACCGGGGTCTACCGTTGACATCACCACCACTAATGTAAATGACGGCCCAACAAGGCCAAAAATCCCAACCCCACCGGGAGAAGGACAACCGGGCGCACCACCTTATAGTGCGCACAATACCACCGGCAAGCCACCATACGGCCCGACCACTAGCACGGTAAAATCCCCAGATTCTCACAGGGACGCACCACCGGAATCGCCGCCATATAGCCCGGCGCTGATACTTCCCCCACCATTCACAAAATGGAGGGAGTACTTAGATGACCCCAACGTCATCTTAGATACCGAATTCTGGTCTGTCTACAGACCACAAAACAGAGAAGACATGGCCAAGCCATCCTTCTCTAACAATAGACCTAATAGGCCAAATATCCGGCCTAACGGTCCCATTAATAAATTATAATTGGGTCTACAAAACAAAAGGTTTGTTCTGTTTTATGGTCCATCCACCATTGGCAACTCCATAATCGACATTGGGACCACATCCAGTCCCAATAAATATACATTCAACAAATCCCAGGCACCTTGGCTACGACCACTGCGATATGAACACATACACAACACAACAATAAATTTCGAAACTAGAATTTATTGAAGCGATTGTAAAATCATGACAATCGATAACCCATCTGTACTCATGCCGCCACCACCGGTCCACCGGTCCACCGGTACGCCGACCTATCGGTCCACCGGTCTTGACTATACCATTCACGACCCACCGATGGCAACTAGCTCCACCGGTCCACCGGCACACCCCTGCCGATGGACTATCCCGGTAATGCATCTGGAACACAAAATGTATATAAGGAGCCCCCCCACCCCATATACAACAGTCTGATGAGAGCATACCAGCTCGAAACTAGTCACAAAGATTGCTCTTGGGTTTTAGCCCCAAACCATTTATTATTTACTTTGAGTAAGGAAAATATCGTCATCGTCAGACATCCTCTCTTGTGAACAGTCAACGACACAATGCCATGTGGTACGACGCACGCAGTTCTTTCTGCACGTACAGCCCTCTTCTGCACGTGCAGTCCGCGATAACAACTGTTATAAAGCGTGTCTCGTTATACCATGCTTATTTGCGACCCGTATACCGCGTAAATATAAGCTCCAAAAATGACATAGATTAATGGATAGCGGTTTATAAGTTGGACAAACCATTCCACCTCAGGAATGGTATGATTGTATAACCGCATCCTCAGCTTTTCTGTGCCTACCCGGTTATACAATCATACCATTCCTTCGGTGTCATGGTTTCTCCATTACATAGGTACTACAAATTGCCTACACAAATTGTTTCAACTTGCCTTTTGCGGCAACCCATAGGTCTGTCTGCTTGAGTAACTGCCCTTTATCAAAGGAAGCTACTCTATCCCTAGCCTATGAGATGTCTTGTTTATTTAGAGTCTGTCTGTCTGTCTGTCCTGTCCTACCATTACAAAGTGATTTGATGTTCACGCAGTGTCAAAACCAAACAAGGTAACAATTCAGACATATTTCTGCCAAATCAAACTGTTTTTGTTTGGGTCATTTTTCCAAGCGGCAGAAGTTTACAAGCACAGATATTGAAACTAATCCTACTAGACTAGTGTCCTCCCTAAATTTTCGCAAGTTGCCAAATGGCTCAGCTACATCACAGTTAGATACTGATTTTCAGTATATTTGACTATTCTTTTGATAATCATAGCAATTATCCCAGTAGTTTGTCCAGATTCCCGATGGTTAATTCTGACTCGATTGCCAAAAGACAAGGGCAACGTCATGTTTGTTTGTAAACACTGAAAGTAGTCCCTACTTGACCTTTGTTATTTGCATCTCTATACGCCTATGACCCCAATGGATACTGTCTTTATCTGTTGTTTTTATCTTGCCGAGAAACCTACCCATTATATGATAAATCCTTTTACATGTAATTTCAAAATATAAAAAATTACATACATGCGCTCCAGAGAGAGGCAGGTCAGTCAAAAGGCAGAAGGCGACCACTTGTACACGTAAAGTGATGACTAAAGTGTCTACAGACTTGATCTCACAATCTAAGGAACATGCTCCGTCCTCAGGAAGTCTTTGTATGCACCATTGTTCATTGTATTTGTTACCTTTTTATATATACTGCAAAAGAAACGTCACCATGGAAAGATGTATGAGAAACCTTATTTGTCCAAACACCTTAAACATACTTTGAGACATATTAAATGGATGAAACTTGGCAAAACTGATCATCAAGGTTGAAATTAAAGTGTCAAATGTTCTTAAAGTGAAAGTCTCTGAGAAAATGGCATCACAAGTCAGGATCTCGTGTGTCCGCCATGTGCATTGATGACTGCTGTGCATCATCGATACATGGAATGGATGAGGCGGTTGATGAAGGCCATAGGCACGTGAGCCCACACTCTGAGGAAAGCCTGCAAAGTTCAGCTGCAGTTGTCGGCCTTGGTCGGACGTCATGCAGCCATCTTTGAATCTCGTCCCACAGGTGCTCAATGGGATTTAAATTGGGACTGAGGGCAGGCCACTGTATGGTTCTGATGCCATTCTGCTGGAGGAAGTCTCTTGTTGCTCTCGCAGTGTGGGCACAGACGTTATCATGCTGAAACTTGTGGTTGCAGTGACGTGCCAAATGAGGTATGGCGTGTGGTCTCAAGACTTGATCAATGTACTGAGCTGCTGTGACACCATTGCCTCTCCCTGGACCAATGTTCTGGAAGACCACAGGGCCAACCCTCTGTGCAAGACCAATTCAACCCCACACCATGATGCTCGGACCAGCCCACGAGTCTCTCTCAACAACACAAGCATCCAAATAACATTCCCCATGGCGTCTCCAGACTCTCTCCCTGCCATCTGCTGTTGAGATACAGTAACAGCTCTCATCTGAGAAGGGGACTCTTCGCCAATGCTGATGCTGTGTTGCCCACTGAAGACGGTCCTGACAATGATGTGGTGTCAGAATGGGTCCTGTGACAGTGGAGGTGTCTGCTCGTCAATCGTTGATGCACAGTGTCCGCACTAATGTGTCGCTGGTGTGTCCCCATTGTCTGTCGAGCAGTTTCCGCAGCAGTAACTAAGTGATCTTGAAGATGCTGTCGCACAATCTGACGATCCTGGCGTCGAGTGGTCACCATTGGTCTTCCACTACGTGGTCGGTCATCTGTAGTGTTGGTGGTCTGGTACCGTTGCTGGAGCCTGTATATTATCCTTACATGGACTTGAAATGCATTGGCTACTTGCCGGGCGGTTTGACTAGCTGGCAATTGTCTAAGGGCTTGGTGTCGCTGATTTCTTGTCAATCTTGGCAATGTGGTTGCAATTCAATAACAAATGAATGCTATCCGATCTGGGTGGATTTTTATAGGGCAAGAAATGGGGGAACGCATGTGCATTTCAATTTGCACGGAACTCGCGTGGTTACCATGGCCGTTGCCGTGATGCGTTTGGGCAATCGGTTTTATTGCTTTGTTTTTTTATCATCAAATTTCATTTTTCCAGACAAGGTAATGTTAAATTTTAGAAACTTTGACAAAAATTACCCAGATATTTAAATGACAACTTTTCATGCAATGTTACTTGGGGTATTGTTTCTTTTGCGGTTCAGTTATATGATGTTCATGTCAATGAAAATGTGTATATTGTACTAGTCATCTGTTGTCCTACCTTACTACCCTTTAGTCTTAACATGCTACAACACAGGATCTACAACACCAGCACAAATCTATAAGAAGGTGTATGAATGTATAAAACCAACTGAACAACTTGAAGATCACGATTTTTGGTTACAAGTACTGCAAATTAAAAAAATAGCTTGAAAAGCATTGAAACTTTATCTGAACACATATTTTAGTTGATTTTGGTGAACCTCAGCTATCACATGCTCATTTGTGTGTTGTTTGCTATTCAGGATCGAGAGGTTTCCCAGAAATTCAGGAAATTGGAACACAAGAACAAGAATTCAAGACAAAAGTCATTCATCAAGACATCAAAGGAGAAATCAGTAAAATAAAAATGCTTCTCATGAAACTGCTCCATTTTAAACATGAAAGTGTGATAATGGCTACTTCAAGTAGTTCTGCAGATCCCAACAGACTCTTCATTATAGATCAAATTTTGCAATCGTATCAACCTTTTGTGAAGTAGATTGATTTAAAGGTTTCATATTTGAAACAGTTTCATAGAATCAAGATGGATTCGGACACAATGACTGTTGAGTTATAACATTTTGCACACCAGGGCAAGTGAACTGATTGCAAAAGTATAAATACATTGTGACAAAAGCATTTGGGGCTGGCTCAGTTGGTTATGCAAGAAGACTGATGTTAATATTATACGTTGCTTGTAAAATTGGGACAATAAATTTATGATGAAATAATTTTGATTAGGGGCAGAAGAAAGAAACAAGCAGTTAATCTGGGATAGTGGGTAACAGGAGCTGAATGAAGCAGCTGTTGGACCGGGGATAGTGGGTAACAGGAGCTGAATGAAGCAGCTGTTGGACCCGGGACAGGAGCTGAATGAAGCAGCTGTTGGACCCGGGACAGGAGCTGAATGAAGCAGCTGTTGGACCGGGGATAGTGGGTAACAGGAGCTGAATGAAGCAGCTGTTGGACCGGGGATAGTGGGTAACAGGAGCTGAATGAAGAAGCTGTTAGACCTGGGATAGTGGGTAACAGGAGCAGAATGAAGCAGCTGTTGGACCGGGGATAGTGGGTAACAGGAGCAGAATGAAGCAGCTGTTGGACCCGGGATAGTGGGTAACAGGAGCAGAATGAAGCAGGTGTTAGACCTGGGATAGTGGGTAACAGGAGCTGAATGAAGCAGCTGTTGGACCCGGGATAGTGGGTAACAGGAGCAGAATAAAGCAGCTGTTGGACCCGGGATAGTTGGTAACAGGAGCTGAATGAAGCAGCTGTTAGACCTGGGATAGTGGGTAACAGGAGCAGAATGAAGCAGCTGTTGGGCCCGGGACAGGAGCTGAATGAAGCAGCTGTTGGACCCGGGACAGGAGCTGAATGAAGCAGCTGTTGGACCCGGGATAGTGGGTAACAGGAGCTGAATGAAGCAGCTGTTAGACCTGGGATAGTGGGTAACAGGAGCAGAATGAAGCAGCTGTTGGACCCGGGATAGTGGGTAACAGGAGCTGAATGAAGCAGCTGTTGGACCCGGGATAGTGGGTAACAGGTTGTTGACCTGAGTAGTGTACACTAGGTATGAAGATCACTCAAGGAAGCAGGACCTTGGACATCTGTACATGAAAGAGGACACATTGTGACACCTTCAAGGAAGTAAGGAGGAAGTCAGTTTAACAGTGGAGGAGCGACCTATGCAATGGTGAAGTGTGGAAAAGGTGCACTTGGTCACGCGACCTAACCTAGAGTCTGGTTTGACATCCATTGCACTGCACTTTTATCCATGAAGTATTATGGGAAAATGAAAGTGATTAGCTTGGGTATTATTATTAATATGCCAGACATGACACAAAATGAGTTGAATATGATAAATGCATACACAAATTTGACGTGTTTTTTTTTTGTTGCAACATCAATGCATGCCAAACAGTGGTGTCTGAGGTTATGCTGGAGTCAATAACTTCACATTCAAGGAAGCACCACTTTACTTGATGTGGGTACCTGTTGTTGCTCACACAATAATGTTAATATGTCGACAAAATTCAAACATGCCCAAATATATTTTATGAGACAAAGTCTCATTTGACATTTTTCCCCATTAATAAATGCCAGGTTGGTCAACTGCTTAACGTTTTCATACATTCACAGTGTGGACTTTTATGCTCACCTGATTGAAAGTCATGTGAGCTTACGTCATGGCTTGCTTTTCCAGTAGTGCTGATGGCGGTAAACATCTTAAACAGAGACCACTGGACCAGTATTTATGAACATTCAAGTCTTACAGAACCTGACATTAACTTGCCCCCCTGCATGGCCCCGGACTAGAATTGGTCCCCAGCAATCCATGTTGGTTGTAAGAGGCAGCCCAATGGTTTGCATGGTCGGACTTGGTTGATAGCGTGTCCTCATGTCCTGAGGAACGTTGCTCACAATATCAATCATTGGATTGCCTGATCCAGACCTGAAAATTGATGCAGCTGAAGTCGATGTTAAACAACAAACATACTTAACTTACCTCTGGCATGTCTTTTGCAAATGTGTACAAATGTAGTTATTGGAGCTCAATATATATATGTTCCATTTTTAAACATTTTAACTATATTGAAAACCCTACATAAAGCCACTGCTCAAAATGTACTGTAAAGTTCTTAAATTCTCTCCAAGAGCATAATTCTTGTGCATACTAGACTACTATTACATCATTGCCAAAATCCTGTAGTTTTGGCTGTCATCACATTATAACAAAATCTTCAGATTTGCAACAAGAGTCCTCTTCACTGTCAACTATACATGAATACTTGTATTCATATTAGCACAGAGCTGCCTACAATGCTCACATGCACAAGGCTTGAAAACCCCACTTCTTGGCTCGCCACTTAAAGTGCACAGGAATGCCATATGGAACATTTAGCACATACAGTTACCCATAATGTCTAAGGTCCATAATTATTGTCGCCAAACACTCTAGCTGCTGAAGATGCATGTCATAACCAGCACCAGTCTTGGGTTGTCAAGGGTTGGTTGGTTGGTTGGTTGGTTTGTTGTTTAACCCTGCATATTCCAGCTATATGACGACGGTCTGTAAATAATCGAGTCTGGACCAGAAAGTCCAGTGATTAATATCATGAGCATCAATCCACGCAATTGGGATCGATGACATGTATCAACCAAGTCAGCGAGTCTGACCACCCGATCCCGTTAGTCACCTCTTACGACAAGCATAGTCGAGGTAGACACAATTTTATAGATAACAACTTCTTTAATACTGTAAAAAGTGACGTTTCGGGGGAGATCCTTATACCCTTGTCAAGCAAGACTGAATGAGGGTACTTACTTACTTAAATTAGGAATTTAACGTGCACTTTCCAACATAAACTTATTTCGCGCACGGGCCTGCCAGGCCATTTGGTGTTTGGTCGAAGAGGGTATGTCTGAAAAGGTGAGGCAACCTAGATGGGGCTTTTTAGGGTTGCTTACTTAATTTGGAGAACAATTTTGGAATTTTGAAATATGCCATAAAAGGTGGAGGGGGGAGACTAAAAGGAGTTTGTGTGTTTTTATAGGTTTAGAAATTTAGGGTTATTGGCAGCCTGTTTGTTGTACTTGTATTTTTAAATGCGGCCAAGTAGGCCTGTTTTGATAAGATATATGCCTAGTGCTTTAAAGGTTTGTAAGTCATTTAGGGGGTTCAGTACAGTTGCTAGTGTCATTTGATTGTTGCAATTTAGTGTGGATTTGTCAACAAGATTGGGTTGATAATTGTTGAGTGGGTGAAGACTTGGCGGAGGTGTTCGATCTCAGGTTTGGGGTCAGGAGAGGAAAGGTTGATGGCTCATTTGGTGAGGGTGGAGATGATGCCAGTCTTGGTTCTACGAGGGTGGTTAGAGTTGAAGGGGATATACTGATCGGTGTGGGGGGGCTTCCGGTAGACACTGGTTTGGATTCTGTTTGTTGGGCTTCTTGAGGACATCTAGGAAGGGTAGTTAGTTGTCCTTTTCTATTTGATGGTGAACTGTACTCGGGGGTGTTGTTGGTTAAGATGTTGTAGTAACAGGGTTGGGTTTTGGTCTTGTTTTAGGATAACAAAGGTGTCGTCAACTTTCCTGTACCAGCTAATAGGTTGGATGGGGGCTTGCTGTTCGAAGTAGGTCATGTAGATTTCAGTAAGAATAGGAGAGAGTGGGGATCCCATGGGTAGGCCATGTATCCATTGATAGTACTTGTCTCCCCAGGTGAAGTAGGTAGAGGAGATACAGAGACTCCCTCAAGACCCTGCTAAGAGCCAACGGCAGGAACACAACCAAACTCCAAGAGCCTAAAGGTGTAGTTTACAAAATTGACTGCAACTGTGGACAATATTACGTAGCTGAAACATCCCACCCAATCAACACCAGAATGAAAGAGCAAAAGAAATTGCACCATTAAATCTGACAGTAAATCCGACATCTCGGACCATATCAACAACTGTCCTGATCACAACATCAACTGGGACAACGTCCAAATCCTCTCCAACAACCTCCATGATTTCACTAAAAGAAAACTAATAGAAGCAATCCACATTCGCCGCCACAAGCCATCAATCAACAGAGATCAAGGCTATTTCATCCCATCCGCCTACTATGAACTCATCAAGCAATAATCACTTATTCTGTTTAATTGGCTTCATGTCCCATTGGCTTATGTGTCCTCTGTCCATCGTGTTGTGACAGTATTATCTCCTTGTTGTCAACACCTTGACAAGAAATTTCATACACATCATGATAGATCCGCTGAGCATGCTCCATTGCATATCATTACACAGTCCAGTTAAAGGGTGGGAACAGCGAAGCGGATGTTACATCACAATCCCATTGCTGTTTCCTGCTCCTCAGCCACAGATCAGATGACCGGGATTACACTACCCCTATATAGTATCCCCAGCCCAGCTTGGGCAGGGGTTACTAACACGATTTCTTCATGCAACTTGAACACTAGCATGGGGGATAATTATAAACCAAATAATTATTCTATTAAGGTCATCATTGCAGAACTTTAAGACCAGATAATAGACCCGTGAGGATCCGGGGTAGAATAGGTCTTCAGCAACCCATGCTTGCCATAAAAGGCGACTGTTTGTCATAAAAGGCAACTAATGGGATCGGGTGGTCAGGCTCGCTGATTTGGTTGATGCATGTCATAGTTCCCACATTGTGTGGATCGATGCTCATGATATTAATCACTGGATTGTCTGGTCCAGACTCGATTATTTACAGACAGTCTTCATATAGCTGGAATATTACTAAGTGCGGCATTAAACAAACAAAAAACAAACCAGATAATAGGAAAGAACGGTCTACCAAACCCTTGTTAGTGTGCTGGGTATGAAGAACCTGTCAGAAAATCTGAAGAATTTCATACCCTTCCCTGTTCATTATACACTGATGATGTCATTAAGAAAACAAAGCATCTCTGAATATTTCATCTTCACATGACATCAGACTCGGTATGCGCATTGTCAATAAGAATGAGTACAAGACACACGATGCTCCTTTCGCACAACAGCCTGATGACGATTTTTATGGACTTGTTAAAAATCCAGGATGCTTGTTGACATTGCCAGATCCAGGGATTTTGACATTAATAAGCAAATGCTAAATGTCAGTTCATACATTAACTGCGTCGCGACTGGAATTCGTCACATCATTCCTCCGACCAATCAGAGCACAGGTCTTCCTTTAGATTCTCCCATAGAGATGACGCCACAACACTAACAACGATTTAGCACCTCAGAATATCAACGCTACACTCAGCACGCATCCTGTCGAACTAGCCTGCTTTATGGACATTGATCCAAGGATGGCAAAGTTCAGCACTACTACTCCACGTCTTCTGCAATATGCAGACAACTGGGAAGCCACCACAGACGCTCCTGGCTGCTTGAAGTGGTAAGAAAGGATACAAACTTCACTTTCTAAAGCGACCAAGACTAGTTATCCATCCTACGAGACACTGATTCCACCTGTCAGGGAGAAATGTATTCGCAGCAAATGTGGCCATACGCAAGTAACTAGCCATCAGGGCTTTGAAAGAATCGGACACCACCCACAGAATCTACTCGTAACTATTCCAAATGTGCTTGATCATAGATCTTAAAGTCCTAAACAAAGATTATCTGGAGAAACCTCTCAAGTTCCAGATGGAATCCATCCTTAAGACAAGCAGGCTTGATGATAAGCCTAGATCTCCAGGACCCCTATCTTCACGTGCTCATCAATACCTGCACTTCGCGATCAACAGTCAGAGATACCAGTTCAGATTACTACAATTCTGCATATTCATGGCCCCATGGATCCCTTTCCACGTTTCTGTCAGCAAAACGATCACCTCGCCTATGCCAAATTCTGACTCTTCCGTCTGCATGGGAGACACAAAAGCGACTTTCATCAGAGAAGATGACACGCCTCCACTCACGATGACGCCAATTGTGATGACCCTGTGCCCACTGAAGTCGTGCTTGTCGATGCCGTGGTTGGAGAACAGGACGACGTGCTGGTCGGCGACATCTGAGGTTGTTGGAATGGAGACGTCAGATCACAGTGTCCCAGCTAATGTGTTGATTATGACAGACAGACAGACAGACAGTTTATTCAGTAAGAAGGCCATAGGCCCATAATACAGACAATGGTTGATTGCATGAACTACGCATGCCAAGGAAGTAGTCGATTTAAGTTTCTCTTAGCCGTTGGACTTTATATAGATATAAACATGTGTTATATACAACATCAAAGTTTTCTGATGAAATAATTTCAGTAAAAGATGTTACAGTTTGAAACTTGATATACTGTTTAAGATACATATTTCTTAGGGCTGAATAACGCTCACATACAAGTAAAACATGAAATTCATCTTCAATAAAAGATATACCATTTTCTATACAATATTTACATAATCGTTCAGTGTATGGAACATTTGTGTATCTCCCCAAGTCAATTGCAAGGTTAAACTTGCTACATCTGAAACGAGTCATACATATTCTCAGATATACTGGTATGGGGAGTGTAAGATATTTTTCTACATTCAACAGGGATTTAAAATGTTTATAATAAAAGGTATCAGATATACTATTGATCGAACTACACCATGATTGTTGAAGGTTATCAAATAATCTTTGCTTAAAAAGATGAATAAATACCTTCACATTGCCAACATCTTGTGTTAACCATACATATCCAAAACCTAATTTAAACAAAATATTCTTAATGTGAGTAGCCCATGTGGTGCGACCAGAATGGTCCAGTGATTTGAGCATTAAATAACATTGGCGAGGCAGTCTGCGCTCGTCCAAACGCAGTAGCCTGCACCAATACTTGATGGCCCTTGTGGTATACACAAGTTGGAGAGGGGCTCTTCCTCACTCTCCTAAAACCATTGCATTGTTTGTTGTTTTACCTGTATTTAGAAACCATTTACACATTTTGTTCTGTACATCTTCAATAATTTTACAATATGAGATGCCACATATTTCTGCGCCATAACAGACAATAGGCACAATCATAGCATCAAATATCTTAAATAAATCTTGACAGGGTATATTACCAACTTCCTTTTGATATCTATATAATGTCATAATGGCCTTGTTACTCTGTGCAGCAAGAGTATTTAGTGCCTTAGTCCAAACAAGTTTGGGCGTGAACACAATACCCAAATATCTATAAAACGACACGGTTTCAATATATACACTATTTAATTTCCATTTTTCATAATGTCTAAGGGGTCCGCCATTTCTGAATACCATAACTTTGGTTTTCTTCAAGTTTACCTTCATGCCTGTAGTATTGCAAAAATGTTCCAAGGCATTGATCTTCTTTTGTAAATTTAAAGGTGTATCAGCAATAGATGACACGTCATCAGCAAACATAAGTGCATATATTGCTGGGCAGTCTTTAGTAATAAAGACAGTTTGTCCACCATAAGTTTATTTATGAATATTGAAAACATCTGAGGGCTGAGGATGCATCCTTGACGGGTACCTATATTACACTTAAAATATTTGGATAACCCAGTAGGTGTTCTAACACAGGCACACAGTTTATTGTACATTGATGTAATAATAGACAAAAACTTTCCGCAGACACCAATATCAGCCAAACTCTGTAACAACATATTGTGATCAACATTATCAAAAGCTTTTGAGAAATCTACAAATAAGCAGTAGAACCTTCCTTTCTTTTTACATGCATACTTTTGGATAATGGCCTGTAGTGAAAATATATGATCTGTCGTGGAATAGTTGGGTCTAAATCCAGCTTGAGATTCGTCAATGATATTGTTATCATCACACCACCTCTGTAGTCTAGCATTAAGAATAGATGTAAATACTTTGCATATGGTATCAATGAGTGATATACCTCTATAATTGTTGGCATCATTCATATCACCAGACTTGAACAGAGGACAGATGATACTTTTCCCCCACACATCTGGAAAGTTACCACTCTCAAAGATTTTGTTAAATGTAATAACTAAAATTGGTGTAATTTGTTTCTCTGAAGACTTTAAAAATTCAGCAGCAATACCATCAGGCCCAGGGGATTTATTATTCCCAAGCTGTTTTATTTGACTTGATATTTCTTGTGCTAGAATAGGAATGTTAATTGTTAGATCATTATTGTCAGGGATATGGTACATACTGCTATCAAGTGCAAGATCCTGCCTAAAAAGAAGAGACATAAAATGGTTAGTCCATTGCTCAGTATTAATTGATTGAGTGACTGCATTAAATGGTTTACTATCCTTCAGCAGTTTCCAGAACAACTTTGGGTTGTCTCTTGCAGCTATCAGTTTTTCTCTCTGTGCTTCAAGAAATGAGTTTTTCTTTCTACTAAAAGCATTTTTAAACATTGATCTTAAGTGTCTAAAAAGTGAAAAATCTTCCCCATGATCTCTGTGAGCTCTCAGGGCTTTGTATTTGTCATGTTTAATTAATTCAAGTTCATCATCCCACCAGGGAGGCTGCTGATTTCTCCTGAAGTTAGAATTTAAACCATATACTTTTTTGGTGTGTTCTGCAGCTTCTTGATAATAACTGACTAAACAAGATACTGCTGTATTACAATTATTATTAGCTAGTTGTAAGATATAATCATAATGCTCTACTAATATACCCTCAAGCTTGTGCAAGAAGGTTTCTTTAGCACCTTCATTCCACACATATTTCTCCCAACTGCCTCCACCTTCCTTTACCAGATTACAGTTGGAGTTACTCCTTGTATTACCTGGGGCTGGGGGTTGACTATATTTACCAGATGAGGTACCCTGAATATTGAGTGAGCAATATAAGGGGAAGTGATTGGAGTGATCCCGTGTACCAACCCCAAAGTTAGAGAAATATGGAAAGAGAGAAGAGGAGGCAATCATGTAATCCACA